GAATGCAATAGCACTTCAGAGCATTAAAATAAAACAAAAACCCCATGAAAGCTACTGATGTAGTCTTATTTCTTACAAAGAGAAAGCCACAGCATTTTTGTCCTTTCAACAATTAAAATAAAGGATGGGGCTACAGGAGGACATGACACTTTTTTTTTTTATAGTAACAGAGTGAGGCTTCCCTTACCCTTTCTGCTTTGGAATAGCCAGTTTGTGGTGCACTCTGGAAAGAGATGTTAAATTTTATGTGCCAGGGCTTAAGCCAGTATCTGGCTCCCAAAGATCAAGCACCTAATGTGGGAGGCATTACCTCTCTCTGGCCACTGCAAGATTCTTTCTGTCTTCTTCAACGCGTGCGGCCTGGAGCTGGCTCCTTCCAGGAACAGGGTACTGCACTAGACAGATTTGCCTTGAGCCAGTCAGGCACTTCTGCTGATCCTAAAATGAAGGTGCAGAGGTGGTAATTACAGAGAAACTTTTTTTTTTTCAAGTTTCTCAAGTCAGAGGAGCTAAAGCTGCAACCTCACAGCAGTGTGTTCGCTATCTCAGGAAGAAACCTTGAGGAAGTCCAGCCTTACACACCGTCCCGGCGAGCTAGAAGAACCGAACGAGAGTCCTCACCGAAGCCGATGCCTGAATATCACCCCATCACCTTGACACTCCTGAGTTAGCTGTCTCTGACAAACCCGAGCTTTCGCAGGAGGCAGTCATTCAAATCGGCTGAGCACATGGACCAACCTCCGCGTTAACACTCCCCCAGCGAGCCGGAGGGATGGGGTTACTGACTCCCTAAACTCTGTGCCTTGACATCACTGTGACCACCAAGCTGAACCCTGGATTTCAATAATTCTGTGCGTTATCCTTGCAGAGCAGACAATCCCAGCTGTAACCCACACCTTAAGGACAGTCAGTGGAGCGAAGACACCGAGCCAGGACTCCCACATGAAGGCCTTTGGGTCGCTTCAGCAAATTGGCCATACTGGACCACGCCGAAGTGATTTCACCCCACACAAATTTCCCATTTCTGCTGCAACAGAGACCACCCGCTTCCTCTGGCTATGGGCTTGGGGATGGCTTCTTTTCCAAAAGAAACACCTGATTCATCTTAACCCTGGCAACAATTTATATGTCTGCATTGGTCTAAGTTTTCAAGACGTTTTTGTGAAAGAAATAACCACCTTACTTTAAAATGAAGAGTAAAACTGATGGATTAATTTGCATTTCAAAGTTCCGGAAAGCAGAGGTGAGGGCTCCGTCAGCTCTAGATCTTGGCGCCGATTTGCACGAACGTCAGCCACAGCAGGACTTGGGCCCAGACGGTTTCTTACAGGCAAAAACCTCCTGGAGCTGGCAAAGAGCGCCTGCCCATGCCAAGGACAGGCAGGGGCTGGGCGTGCCCATGTTTTTCTGCCAGTTCCAGTGAGATGGAAACCCTACAGGAAACCCTCGCCCGCTTGGCCAACGGGGAAAATTAAGCCTTTTCTGGAAAAACTTTCCAGACCTGGATTTGGTGCGGGCTCACTCGGGCCCCCCGCGCTTACACCCGGGCTCTGCAGGTGCACACGCCAGAGGCGCGGGGCCGGGGCCTGCCCTCGGCCTCGCCCCAGCCCGGCCCCGCAGAGGCCGGGGGGGCTCAGCCCCGGGCGGGGGCAGGGGACGGGCC